CTGGTTATATCATTATTATTTCAAAATACACATCTATATTCATTTGGTTTCTCTCTCAACTTCAAATTCCTAAAATTAAATTCCTCATCTATGGTGTCATTACCTGGGGCCCCCAAATTCTCAATCTAAATGATTGATTCTTCTTTAAATAATTGTGTTTGTTGAGAAACTTGGCATTCAGATTTCACCCTACTCAACAGTTGGCTTTTTTCCTCAAAATGAAAATATTTTCCCTAATTCGCTCACATTTCCATCCCATACATTATGTAAAAACTCAACCAATGAGTAAAAATATATATTTAGAAAGTCCTCCAAGTGAAATTATTTTTTTAAGCCTACTAAAGTTAAATAAGATATCAGTATTGATCCTTGAAGGAAAAAAATTCTTGCCTTAATAAATCAGTGTGAATTTGGACTAAATTTTGTATAGGAGTATTATATGATTTGGTAGCTATGATCTTTTTTCTACTCAACAAATCTATTTTACTACTGGTAAATTAAGGCCTACAAAGTTTGAAATAACATGCCTATGGACACACAATGAGTTAATGGCTAATGTGGGAGAAACAGCAAGGGTTGGTAATTCTCAACTCCATTTTAACATGCTAAGTCTTAAACTTATCATGGCCTTGTGATATTTTAAGCTATCTATGGCCTGAGTCCTAGATCTACTTATGAGATACATAACTGTCACACAGAAACACCATGCTTAAAAAGTTAACAAATTGTGCATAAAACATGTTTATGGAGAAGGTCTGGGGAAATTACCCTCAAAAAATATATTCATGGATTATCTGATAAAGTCAGCTAGAAGAGCAAAGGGTGGTAGCAAACAAATGTCATGCTCTAAAACTAAATTTTGCAGATAGTTTTCAGCATGATTTTTCTATGTTTCACTTTCACTGTCAGCTGTAAGCTGTTTACAAGTGTGAAATCACCTAAGAGAGGAAGCAAAGCTGTCATTTGACATCTGGGAGCATGGAGATTGGCTGTGGTAAAAAAAAGCATTTTGGATTTCTTCAATTTACACACATTTTTCACCGATAAACTCTTATGTCTGAAAAGTATTTAATGAGAAATATCAATGTAAATTTCAAGCATTTATAAAGGCTCGTAATGGAGCAGAAAATAAAGGGGAAGGACAAACACTAATAGGATACCATATCAACTTGTTAAGACTAGAATGAGAAACTTAAGTGATCATATAAGCATAATAACTGACATATAAACAATTTTACTCACTTGTCTTATATTGCATATTAATCTTATAGTCTTTTGTATTTTATATACTTAATGCTCTAGGTTCTATTTTCTACCTGCTTTTTTATGATTAGAGTCAAGACTGGTAGAAAATAGTGATAAAATAAAAAAATCAATATTTTCTTATTTTATGTTTCCTTTATGCTTAAAAACCTGTAACAAAAACTCTGTATTACGATTAATTAATAGTTCCAGTGATAAAGCACATAAAATCTTTTACGTGTGTGTGTGTGTGTGTGTGTGTAAATATGGAAATAAAATCAGGGTAAGAAGGAAGTCCTCTGAAGAAAAACAACCAATTTACTCTAGTTTTTATTCTGTAACTTTTCACAATGAAAAATAGGAGAACCTCTTTAAGAGTCTCTTAAAACATCTAAAAGTCTCCTAATAAGGAAACTAGAGAGTGTTATATTTATATTGTTGTGCTATACAGTCTATTCCTACTTTGGGGACTATTTCTTTGCTCTTTCTCTTCCTGAACTCTTTTCTGTGTTTCTCTGGTATGAAAGGAACCCATTTACCATGAATGATGTTTATTTAAAATAAAACCTTTCTAGAAAATCATCCTAGATAATCTAAGGATACAAAGTGAACCTAAAAGGAATGGCTTCTACTTTGAAAACAGGGCTGGGTTTGATCACTGAATTCGTATTCTCAAGACCCTCTTGATGGGCCTGCAGCTGCAGCCATTTATTTGCTGGCTTTTTCACAGATGTAGACAGAGAAAGCTCCACGGTTTCTGTCTTTTTATTGTTGGATTTGTTTCCTTTAATATAAAAAAAAGTGGCAACTTTTCTACAAAGTTCTCTGTTTGGTTGTAGAAATTAGTGAGTATCAGATATCCTTGGTAGTATACACTGTTGAAATGACTATAACTTCTTAAAATCTAAGATCACAAAGTTGGCAGAAACTATACTTAAATAACAGAAGGTGATCATTTGCATTTCAAAATTTATCTATCTTGCTTTTCCCCTCAATTAGACCAAAACATGTTGATTCACAGGTTTCTGTGTGTTTTTTCTTTTTTAAATTTATTTATAGAGCAGAATAATGGCCCCCCTGCTAGTTTGGCATTTGCTCAAGTTTCTGTCCATGTAAATCGAGTCTGTTACTGGAAATTTTTCTGAAAATATAAAGGCACATCACCCACAAGATAAAAAGATAGATTGCTGATATTATAAAGTACAGGGCAGGTGGATAATGTTTTTAGGACAAATATGTGATAAGGATTCCCAGGAGGGAGGAGTGGTAGGGGTAGAGGTTGCTGTTTAAACAGAAGTGGATCATTCTCATCATAATCTTATGACAACTTTACTTTCTAGCCAAACATCAGCTGCTTAACAGGCTTTGGAATTACTTGAACAATAAACACTAAGGTTAGAGTTAGAAAACTGGAGGGCAGAGGGCACGTGAAAGGAAAATTACTTCAACCCTTACTGTTTCTAAGTAGACCAAAAGATTACTAAGTACTCTATGGCTCCATGTAGCCATTGAGATTTGTGACTTTCAAGCACTGAAATATTGACATATTATCCTTGCTCCCACCTTTTAAGAGAAGAGGAAAGCGTACTTGTGGTTTTTATCAGAAGCACTGCTATTCAGGTTTGAGACAAATAGTAATTTACAGATTTTTGCTCCAATTCCCCTTGCATTATAAGCGAGGGGCAGGAGCGCACATTAACTGAATTCTGTAACTCTCCAGGTTTAAGACCATCCACATTAGAACACTAGCATTATTTTTTAGTTAAGGCCATTAGTGGTTTTGTTTTTTCTGTTGATAAAACAAATGAATAGGCCTAAGGAATGAAGAGACTTTCCACATTGTTTAATGCATGCCATAATGCTAGAACACTTTTGCAACTCACAAAGCTTGGAAGTACAATTCTTTTATGCACATAATTAAAACAAAGCCCTTCATAAGGCTACAGCTTTTTTCAAATGTTAGTGAAGGACAACTTGGGAGATGCCAGCAAATATCCATTAATGGCAGACTGCCACCTGCTGGTTAGCTACGAGAACTGTGAATTCTGGGAAGAGGCTTTTTAAAAATTAAAATCTGGAAACTGAACTGTATTAGATTCAGTATTTCAGTACACAAAACTGAAAGTATGTATTTATTGATGAATGTAGTATATAGATTTTTCCACATATATGACAAGCTACAGATGTTAAAGTAAACATGACTGTACTTAGAAGAAAACATAAGCTGCTAAAATCCCCAAGAACAATCCTTATAGCTTTCCATAAGAAAGTGACAATTAAAATAGGAAATAAGGAACCAGTTATAAATATTAAAGAATGTCCCATAAACATTTGGTTTTGATGAGAGGTTAATACTGCACTTCTATTCAGGACCTAATAGGTTTTCATTTAAAAGTATTTCCATATTTAATTTTGATCCTAAAGCTTCCAAATTCATTATTAAAATATGTATTTTCATACACTGGTACCTAAAATGTTATTTCTTATCAAACTACAAAAAGGGTGTGTGTAAAAAGACAACCAGATAACCATACCAAAGATTTCATTATGATATCCTTTCGCTATCCCATTAACTAAATCACACAGATGAAGTTTCAAAAAACACCATAATATTATCTATTTGAATGAAACAAAATATGTAGGCATGCTCTATTGCCCCTAGGAAGACATAATATCAAACAGCCCTAATGTGAGGGAAGAAAAAGGAAAGAAAAGAGTATATAACAGTAAGAAAAAATCCAAATCATTATTTTCAGGAAATAGCTTTAGGATATTTACTTTGCAAGGTTGAAAAACTTTGCTATTCCCCAATATAGAAATAATTCTTAACAATGATGGTTGTAACTAAAAACAATACAGCTCTTTCAATCCTAATTATAATCACTTCTCATTATGCAGAGAAACAATGTTAGCATCAATAATACGCTGGTTAGCTAGGAAGCATTAAATACTGTATTAATCAACAACTAAGCAGATCATGTCAAAATAATCAGCTTGAACCTCCTTTGAAAGCCAGTGGGTGATGAGTGAAACGACTCTGGCCATCCAAAGAGGCTGAATGCTAGGCAAAATGTGAACAAACTTTGGATTCAAATATAGCCCCGTCTGTACTGATGACAGAGAGAAACTCAAACCCAATTCATATGCTTAAGTGACCTGTAATTATCAGCAAAGGATCTAACACCCCCAAGAGATAAACCTCTAATTTTTAAAAAATAAAGACAATACAGTAGAAACCTGTTGTCAAATACTTATATAGGCTATTTTTAAAAAGAAGAACATGCTTCCTAAAATTTCTCCAATATAGGAAGAACTCTTTAAATTCTGCTCTGAAATGCCAGTTTGGCTCATCGGTGACGTTATAAAAATGCAGTCAAAAAATTCCACATTTTATCCATTTTTAGCCTTAGGAATTTTACCCTGTTAGCTACATCTTAATAAAGATCATCCACTCAAAGAGGTTGAAGGTATTAAAAGGTCCTTCTAAACACTAAGAAGTCGAGACATTTCCAAGAAAGAATTCAGTTCCAGAAATATAAACTGATTTAACAACAAGAAAAACACACACACACACATATGCCGTGCATGCACAATGGGTTATAGAATGGTTTTATCCTCAAATCTTCTTTTTTGAAGGGTTAAAGAGATAAGCAAATCCAACACATACATGAATTGCCAGTGAAAAATATAGCTTCTCTAAGAGAGTAAGAGCTGCTGAACTACTTTCTCAAGTGAAACCTTTAGGAGATTGCTCTAACCTGGGGCACAGTACATTCTCTCTACCGCATCGCTGTCACAGGAATCTTCAACCTCACTCCACCTGCTAAAATACGTTAGCTGAATGTGTCCTAAAAACAAAACGACAGGAGAAATCAAAACATTTTTCTCTTCCATTTTCTGCAGAAGTGAACTGTAATTACTCCTTTTGTAGCTAAAAACAGTATCATTAAGAATAATGGCATCATTAAGTACTAGAAGCTATTACTGGGGGTGAATTTGCTGCACTGATAATGAAGCTCTAGACAGGAAATGAAGATACTAATTACAAGATAAAACGCCTACTCAGTTAATTGGAAGCAACAGCGAATAAAAAGAAATGCATTTGCAAAAGTTCCTGACCTCTATCATTCAATAAGATGTTGTTTGGGTTCAAATCGCGGCACACAATTCCCTCTCTATGTAAAGCATCAAGGGCTACCACCATTTCAGCTGCCCATCTTTGAATGCAGCCCTCTGGGATGTAAAACCTGGAGTTTAGTGCTAATTTTTTATCAAGGTCCTCAAAAATCTGATGTATTTCCTTGTCTCCTTCTAGGGCAAACCCACTCTCTCCCTTAGTCTCAGAGTCTCTCTGAAATACAGCCAGTTCCTCTTTAGCCAACTCATCAGTCTGATCTGTAAACAGCAAAACTTCTTCAGTTTTTAAAGTGTCTGTGTCGACATTATATTCGTTAGCACCTGCAAGTGCATTGTTAGAAATATGGAATAAGCTTTCTTCTGTGCTGTCTGCAGTCACAGCTGACTCAACCACCCCAGGTCCTTGAAACTTAGGATCTGAGCTGTGTAACAAAGACATGTCTCCTGTACTACTATGACCAACAGCTGCCACAAATAACATCCCAAGATCCCCCTGTGCACAGTGTTTGTCCGTGACACCATGGGATTTAGGACGAGAGGGATCACTCAACTCCTCTGTGCCTTTTTCTTCATGTGCTTGGCACTGGTCAGTACTAAGCCTGAGGCATAAAACGTCGGGGGCTTCCAACAGTTTACTTTCTATGATGCCTATATTAGTCTGTGTAAACTTAGTCGGTCCCACTGCTGGGCCATCTTTTGTTGACTCCAATTCACCAGGTAGATTTACAAGAAGATCAGGCCTTCCTTCATCAGTACTACTGACATCATCGAAAGCAGCATCTTTAAAAGAAATAACTGGGACAGAGTCCTCTGAGCCCCTGCTGATGGTGTCTTGAGCTACAAACTCTACCTTGCTTTCACTAGCATTAAAACTCCTAGGAGTGCTGTCCATATCTGGAAGAGTGAAAAATGGTTTCAAAGGCTCTGACTTAAAACTATACAGTTTTTCTCCAAAATCAAGTCCAAGGAGTTCACTAGTGCTATCCTTACTATCTATTCTAAAGAATTCCATGGGGCTGTTTTTAGATCTACTTAGGGAATCTGATGTTCTTGGAGAACTGCCTGCTTCTAGATCATCATCTCCAAGGAAGAACTTCAGCTCATGGGCTATCAGCTGTGTGCTGGGGCTGTCACTGTCAGCAACAAGGTGTGCTGGGAAATTTTCAATAGCTTTGGTATCACCATTCCCTTCCACCTTCATGAAAGGCTCCTCATTCAATGACCCTGGTTCAATCTTTTCTTGTCCATATTCATTGCATAATGTCAAATAACTAGTAGTACATTCTTCTTCTGAACTTGAGCCCGAATCTGGCCATTTTGGAGAGCTGTCTTGGCCATCGTCATCTTGGATGCTCTCATCTTGAGAGCTTGGAGTGAGTCTTGTCTTCAAAGGCAGAACTTTAAGCGTGGCTCCACCATCACTTCCTCTGGATTCGAAGCTGCTGCTGTCCTGAGGACTACAAATTGGCTGTTGAAGGGGAACTTTAGTAAGTGTAGATTTTTTCACTTCCTCGGTGTCAAAGCTTTCTTCAGGACTTCTGTTTAGAAACTTACTGATATATGACCAGAGTTTGCCACCTGTGAACAAGTATAACCCAAAAAAAAAAAAAATTGTTTAAGATCCCCAAATTAATGGTTACTCTATTAAAGTATTCTAATAATGAAAAGCAAGTCAACGACACCTGTTAATATTAAGTATGATCTAAGACAAGCATTTAATAAAATGCCTTCTCATTATTACTGACCAGTGAGTACAGCTTCAAGCATTATCTCCTGATTTCAATTATTTTTTAAATGACAACGTATCTTTTCTTTCAAAGGGAAGGAAACTGGTTGTAACGTGAAATCTCACAGCTAAAATTCTGCTTTAAAGTTAAATATAATTTAGCTTTAGAAACATCAGATTATGTTCTGAGCTGTTTATGTAATAATTTTTCAAGCATGGCTCCTTGGTCAAGTAGAAATACATAAATAAGTGCTGCTTAAAACTGTACATACTACAGTGGGGGAAAAAATCAACAATATTATTCCATTTTGAAAATACCCAGTCCAGAATTAGAAGGGAGATTTGGTATCTGTTATATAATTATGCCACTATAAATTGTATTTTAGTAATACTTTTCCAATTTCTTCTGTCCCTATATATGTCATGTGTGGTAGAAGACCAAATAAAGCAATTGGGGAATATTAACAGGGCAGCCATTAGTAAGGCAAGCTATTGTCCTTCTGATTCTATATTCTGATATATATCAGAAACCTATGAAATCATAAATTTTAACGAAAATCAATTTTTAAAAATCAATCATAAAAATCAATTTCACAGAAATCAAATAAAGACAAAAAAATATTGTTTTACCAGTAAGTCTTATTAGGTAGTTACTTCACCTCATTTTCTTTTGTTTTAATTAAAAACTTGACTTTCGCTACTTAGAATCTTCAAATAAAAAAATCTATATTAAATACCAAAAACCTGTCAAAGCTCTACTGACTAGACATAGATTACAAGTAGTTAAATTTGATCCAGAAATCTTAAAAACAATAATTGAATACATAAACTTTGTGAAATGTCATTAAAGCCTCCAAAAATGGGAAATAATATGTTAAAAATGAATCCCTCTCTTAATATGGAGAAAGCATCTTTTCAGCATATTTTTAATGTTATTATTAAGCATCATATATACCAAGGGATCTTAAAGGAAATAATCACTGACCATTACATGTGTAAAAAGGTAAGTGGAAGCATCCAAAAATCTTTTTCTACTTCACATTTCATTTCACTTAGAGGAACTCAAAAAATACATAAAGCACCCAATACTTCACCTAGCACAGAGCAAATGCTCAATAAAGGTTCAATAAAGGGTAATCATGGGAATATTCATCCTAGGACACCCATACATCTTCTCTACCAGTTACCTGGTTAACAGCCTCCTCCAATTTTGACAATAATTAGTGGGATAGCACATTACAGTATCTACCCTCTGAGTTTTTCTTAGCTAACTTTCTGAGCCACTAGATAATACTTAGTGTTTCATATTTCCCAATATTAAAACTAAAGTTTAAGGATTCGTATATACTTTTGAAACTCATTCACTTGCAAAAAGAGCAATGCATTGATTCCTTTTTTTAAGTCTTTTGACAATAACCACATCCTTTTATCACAAACACCTCTATTTGGCACAATTATAATAATAATAACAATAACACCTGAACCTGAAGTTGCGATTCTTGTATGCAATCCAAATTAAAACGATGTGTGTTGTTTCCAATTGTCCTAGATGGTAACTACTATGAGGACAGGTCCAAGCCTTTTTACATCTTTGAATATGTACTACCTAGACACAGTGTGTAGAACATGATAGGCATTCAGTCAATGCTTGTTAACTCAGGTAATGACACATCTGAATGGGACGTGCCACCCACAAAGTAGATGTAGTTATCAAAGTTCCAGTAATCAGTGACGAACAGTACCTAGTAAAGTTCTAAGAAAAGTTTCATACATTCTTAAGCTAATTCCACCTAGATGAGCTGCTGAAGTCTAAAATTCAATGTGCTTAAATTCTTTATTTTTGCCCCCCAAAAGTACTTCCTCCTCCTGACTTCGAAGCTACTCTGGCACAAAAGCTTTGAACCAAACTTGGATTATTTTCTCTCTCCTGTTCCTTGTACATCTGACAAGTTTCCAAGTCCTACAGGATCTACCCTAATGTTTCTCAGTCTTCCTCTCCTTTTAATTCCTTTGACCACTCTGTGTTCTTGGAATGTTACAGCTACAACTAGACCCCTACTTTAAGTCATTCCTGTATCACTCTATCATTCAAACACTGCCCATTAATCTTCCACTTTAGCACAGATCTTACCATGTCATATCTCCATTCAAAAACCCAAATCCCCTCTGACTACTGAATGATGTACAACTCCACAGAGGTATTTGAACCCCTCAGGAAGATAGTATCACCCTGTGATTTGGTCCTCTCCCTAAATTCACCAAGCAATTCATCTGAATTGGTTTCTCTACATATAACCCACACTAGACTTCTTGCTCAAACCATACCTATTACTTAGAATTTTCTTTCCTATTAGTTTTCTCCAATATCTGCTAGTCAAAATCCTACCCATTCTTGAAGGTCCTACAGAATTTTTCTTTTACCAATTTTTTGGTATCCCCTCATGGGATATAATTCCTATCTTCTCTGAGTCCTCTACATCATTTAGTCCATCTTATAACATTTATAACATTGTTTCATATTTGTATTAATTTTATGCTTTTATTATTTCCCTTACCAGACTGCAGGGTCTTCCTAACTACAGGGAGAAGATTCTGTCTGGCATGTAAAATAATAGTTATTAAATAAATATTTATTACATCGGGTTATGAAAAGATGACATCTTTATAAATCTTTTGAAAAGCTTTCAAAAGAAAATTAAAGATTCAAAATATACAAATCACCCAAAAACACTAGTAATCATTAGTACATTTACTATCAGGCTTTTTATTCATGACTAATATCCTATCACATCCATTTTCTAATTTTCATAAGAATATGAACTTGAGTAGCTATATAGCATAGCCATGTGATAGATATTATGTTATCTTTAAATGTTCTTCTACAGTTGGACATTTAATGTGCTTCCACTCTTTTACTATTAGAATTAGAACAATATGTATTTTTATATACAATCCTTAAGATCTCTGATTATTTCATCAGGACAGAATCCCAGAAATGAAACTACCAGGTGAAGAAGCATGACTACTTCTCATGCTTCTGATATGCGTTGTAAACTGCTTTACGGAAAGGCTGCACCAGAACCCACTCCTAAGCCACCTGCCTGTCTTAGGTCATCTTCATAAGAACCTGCCTACACTGGACATGAGCAAGCTTACCAATTTGATTAATCAAATTATCTTATTTAATTCCCATTCTTTTCATTGTTAGACAAAATTTCCAAATGTGATTGTTGGCATTTTCTTTACACCTAAACAAATACCCTATCCTGAATTTTTGAAACTACATTTTCAAGAGAGGACAAAACTGTTCTAGATCTCCTCCATTCATTGCTCAGTACCTGGTTAAATTTAATGCTCAATATGGAGCTACAGAAATAAAGTTTTGGTCTCATCACATGTTTTTCAACAAGAAAATCAAGAAAATCACATAACTTACAAGGACATATAATTCCCATTGAAGTTCCTCATCTACAAAAGCCGTGTGGATTTACTGTCTACAGTTAAGATCAGGCCTAAAAGACAAACTTACACAAATGTCAATATTACTATTTTACAGTAAAAAAGATTACCCTTAAAAAAAACCCTGTTGTTGATAAATCACAAAACATAAACAGAAAACAGCTAACATATTTACAATTTTTAACACTTTAAGAACATAAATGACACCCTTCTAAGCCCTGTTGAAGTATATAAAATTACATATATTAGCTATTTTAAACTACAAAAATTAAAACTCTTTGTCTCTCATCAGATTTTAATCTAGTGATTTTTTTGCAGGTTGGAAAGAAAATTTGTTAAATGTGTTTGACCAAAAGTAAGCATATTTAATATGTATGATAAAGTATTGCTGGGCCTATGATCAAAATCATCTTTTGACCCAGCAATTTTATTTGAAGAAATTTACCCTACAAATAGTTCTTAAAAAACAAAAATACATAAAGATAAAAGTACTAGAAACAATTCATCTCTATCATCAAAATATATTCAGAATCTAAGAGCAATTTCTCTCCACCTCCAACACGAAGACTTTGTCCAAGCTCCCATCATTCTCACCTGGAATGCTCCAACAGCTTCCAAACTGCTCTCTCTGCTTTTGCCTTTGGCCTCCTGTGTTCTACTTTCCACAAAGCAGCTAGAGGGAGCTCTATCTTGCATTCCTCCACTCAGCATCTCAATGACTCCCCATCTCCTCAGAATAAAAATCAAGTTCTCAAAGTGACCTGTAAGATCCCTTGAATGCCTGCCTGCCCACTCCTCGAAGCTCTTTCCATGCTGCTCCAGCCACACTGACCTTGCTGTTTCTTGCACACTAAGTACACTCTTACCTCTGGGCCTATGTTTGTTCTCAATGATGAGATACTCCTCCCTCACACATCCACATTGCTCCCTTTCACACTTCCTTCAGGTCACTGGCCAAATGTGCCCTTCTTAATAAGGCAACCACTTGAGATAAAACAGCAACCTCACCTCACCCGTTCGGCATTCCCTTCTCCTTCCTTTACTTAACTTTTCTCCAAAGGCTTTTTCTCCATCTGACATATATTTAGTTATGTATTTCCTATTGTCTAATCTCTGTAAGTAAGCTCCATGTAGGCAGTCTTCATCTGTTTTGTTCACCATGATATTAGAACTAAATTGTATCCCAGTAATTACTCAACTGTATCTCTGACTGAATGAATTTAAAATGAAAAGAAAATGAGTCCAAGAGACTCATGTGAATCATGAATAGGTTTATAAGCAGAGAGAAACTAAAGCCACAAATCATAAGTATTCAAACACTCACATTATGGAGAAAACTGTTTTAATATTTACTTTCTCAATAACAGCTATTTGTGCATATGAAAGTGATATTTTTATGATACATACACCACCTCCTAATTCACAGAGGTAACAAAGTACCCACTAGCATGCAAACAATAGCACACACTCCATCATCAGTTCACCTAAGCCAAGGAATAACCCTAGATCCTTCTCTTCCTAACTTTGAATCCACCACTGGTACCACTGAGCCTACCCTCAAAGCATCACCACTAGTACTCCAGAAAGCCAGGCCATTACCTTTTCTTTCCCAGACTACGCATGGCCTCTGTTCTTGCCTTTCTATAATCCATTCCTCATGTAACAGCAGTGATCTTGTTAAAATGTAAATCAGATCATGTCACTGCTTAAGAAGTCCAATGTTTCCCAATGCACTTGAATAAAAGCCAAAGTCCTTACCCTGCTGTACAAGGGTCTTGCCTGCTTCTCCAATAGCCTCATCTACCACTCTTGCCCTTACCTATTACATTCCAGCAAATCGTCTCTTTTTCTTCATCAAACATTCCAAGTTTGTTTTTGCCTTCAATTTCTTACACTGACCCCTGTACCTGGAATGTGCTTCCCCCTTAAATCCAAATGGTTATTTCGTTTGTCATTCAGCCTCCTCTTAAATGTCATCTTCTTAGAGCAGGCTTCCCTGAATACTTAAAGTAGTCCCCTGTCGCTCTCCATTAAATCTGTGTTAAAGATTGGTATGGTCTCTATTATGAGCCAATATTATCATGATTTTTGTTTCCCTGTTTGACTCTCCATAGAATGTAAGTTTCAAAGGGGCAGGCTCTTTTCCTATTTTGTTTGCCTAGCACATAATACATGCTCAATAAATCTGTTGACTATTAAATGAATCCAGAGTCTCTATTTGTACTATAATCTATTATCTTTGTATTATAAAATAGTCTTAAAATTAAACAATAAACACCTAAAATGATCAGTAAAAAGAGATCCTCCCTTACCAAGTTTAAATAATCCTAGACAAAATTATATGGTCATGTGATCAAAGTTAGGTGTGGTCAGCAATAAAGGAGAAGAGATTTGGTAACAATAACCTAAACTGGAGAATTTGAAAGTCACACATCTATGGCTTTAAGACAGACTATAAAAATTGTCTAAATATTAAAGTAAAAGCACTTGAAACATCAGCTTTAGAGAATATAAGAGGTGAAGAAAAACTGATGTATATTTTGGAGAAGCAGAGGAAGATGAACAGGAAGAAGAAATGCAAATAACTGGTAAACTAGGATTGAAATTTTGCCACAGGTAATCTCCAACATGAATAATCCACACTGGGTAATAGAATATTGACTATAATTACATTCATCCTACTGACCTTGTTCTAAATTATTATGGATTATTACTACGTAAGTTATTTTGTTCCACACCAGAGGTGGCTGTATTTCGCTATCTGATGACATGACCTCTAATTCAATAATGTCTGTAATGCACTGGTATCCTCAGATAAAAGCTGTCTATAATGTCTGAACAAAGGTGAATTAGTTATCCAATTCACACACACAATTAACTCTCTTAATACCTGAGAGACCATGGAGCCCCTTCTGAATTTCCTATTAAATACTGCATATGGAGGTCTTCCCTCCATCTGTAGTTATCTTGTGCTGTACTTCATAATAAACAATATTAATAGTTTATTGCCCCCATCAAAAATCTTGCATTAGTTATCAGATGAGACCTCGTTCCACAAAGCAATGACTCATTTTCCTGGGAAAATGCATTAAATTCAAATGTTATGTCTATTAGCAAAGCACAGTAGTTCTTTATTCTCAGTAACATAAAAATAACAACATCATCTTCATGAAACATGGAAAATAATTTAAATTTTTTTACTATTTTAAGAACACCTTTTATAAGCCAAAAGGCAATGTTTATTATGTGGATTTATATTTATATGCTACATTCAGTCATTCTAAATAAAAAACTATTTAAATTCAGATGTTAAAGGGCAAAAACAAATCAAAAAATATTATTCTTTTTTGCCACCTGTTCCCTCTGCTAAGAGCTGAAATTTCATGACAAGTCTGAAGGCAAAAAAGCATCATGCCTCTGCTTTGTATCCATATGCGATTGCCAATGGCTGTATTCATAAAACCCCAGCTAAGAATATCCAGGTAAGGTCAAATGGTAAACAAATACCCATGCCTTGTAAAAAGGGGGGGTAATTAATTAATTCTTCAGGGAATGTTTTTTATTTTAGTTATCTAACAATAATGTATCTTTTTAGCAGAGAACAAGAGAACAAAACTAATTCCCTAAAATAAAACCTAGCTTTCTTTGCACACATTCACCTTAAGGTTTTCATCATATTAGGTCAATTCTAGGAGAAAGTAAGTAGTTAAGTATATGTAAGAATGTTACTGTAGTTCAAATGACATCTGCTGCTCACCTGGGTTTCCATTTTCCCTCAAAACTCCAAGTAGGGAGAGCGAGCAGAGGAATGAGAAACAGCTCTTATATGTGTTTCCTGTATTTTATCTGCTCACGTAACAATAGAGGTAAGAAGGACATTATAGCAACCGAAAAGCTAAGTGGGTGAAGTTCTTCATTCCACAAACAATTTAAACTACAAACCAACCTTCTGCGTGCTGCAGCACAAGAAATACTGACTCCTCGGAAACGATGTACTTGTGCAGACACACCATGTTGGGCACACGGCGGGGGATGATGGTCTTTCTGTTCGTGCGGTACTCACTGCTTTTCCTTAGACCCTGACAGAGAACAAAAAGGTCAGTTGTACCCTCAGTTGCCTTTGGAGCCTGCTGTGCTCTGTGTTTATCAACCAAACTAATCTATCCGGGTTACTCTGGGCTTCAGAGAAACCACTCATCTGCTGCTCTATGCCCCTCAGTCCCTGGAGGCTCTGCTGATGGCATCTGGCGTGAATCCAGAGAACGGAAGATGCCACAAAGCTGCCATTAAAATCAATTATGTGGGTCAGTGTTTTTATTAGAGATGCTCTCAAACTAAGTCATCAGGATGACACACAGTTATTTGTCTATGACCTTATTCTTAAGTTTTATTTTACTTATGTATATCTTTAGAGTAGTAGATATAGTGAGATCAATTCAAATTCCTGAGACACACAGGTATTCTCAGATTAAACAGACAATTTAAAATTCTATTCCAAAAAAGCACAAGGCTTATTTTAAGTTTCCTCTAAAGGAACAAGGTATATGCAGTTTCTGGTGTCATATCCTGGTTTAAAAATCTGCGGAAATGCCAGTGATAAAGGATACTCATAAAAATAAATTTGTTTCGGGATATGTCAATGTGACCTACTGCCATGCTGGTAAGTAAAAAAATACATATCAGAAAAAGAAATAGAAAAATAATCTGAAATTGATTAATTTTGAATGCTGTGGAAATGCTTAAATTACAGATTTTTAGAATACGTACTATTACAATCCATTTTGAATATGATTTCAAAATTACAAAGTGAGGGTTTTTTTTTCCTTATTCCTTTAGTTACAAATTGAGTTATACAGAGACCCAAAAATGAATTTACATTAAAAAGAGTGCTAGGGATGTAGATAACACTTTCCCAAATACCTGTAAGACTTTGAGGCAAAATTTTAGCTCTTAAGAACTCTAATCATAATCAAAGGTACAATTGTGTTGCCTTCACAAATTACACATGTATTAGACATGTATGTAAACTACATGGTGTACATTTAAACAGCATGAAGTGAGCCTTCAACTTATTCAAATTATTTCCTCCATACTCCATAACCTAAAATTCTTTTTAAATATGTGCTGTATTTATCAACTGTGACAGAAGGAAAGTAGAATAAATACAGATCACCACAAACATGAAAGAACATTCGAACACCGAAGAAAAAAATAGTAAATATTTTTTCTTTCAGTGATATAATTTGAAAATAAATTTCTAAATTCATTAAACATACAAATTCTACTTACTTTTAAAATGAATGTCTGTTCTGTCCTTGTGTCCATTACAAGTAAAACCTACATAAAAGACATGAGCAATATTCACAATACAATGAAACATTGACACATTAACTTTTTAAAACTATTAATGTAAGGGTTTGGGGAAAAGTGTTGGAATTGACTCCACCAAAATTATTCATTTCTGAATAGGTCTTTTTGAAAAGGCCACCAAATAACAGCATCAAAACAGTCTTACCTAAAGTGAGTGTTGTTATGGTTTCCTATTCAAAAATGCTATACATTGGAAATACTATGTTTTCCTAGATTTATTTAAAATTTAGTTCTTAAAAGTAAAATTATTTTACTTTTACTAAAATGTTTTACTAAAAGAATTTTAGACAGAGATTTTTCCTTATGGAATATATATGGTTAATAAGAAATGTTTTTTAATTTATAGGAATTGCTGAAGTCTCAATTTTCTTCCCCAAACGCCTTATGCAGCAACTTGCTATAATGTGATCTCAATAACTCAGGCTTCAGGCTAAGGCATCCTTTTGGTACCACCTCTCCATCCAGGACTTATCCTTAACATCTGTTTCCATCAGCAAATCCTGTCAGCTCCAGCTTCAAAATGTATCCAGATTCTGAACTCGCCTCACCACTTCCACTGCTATTACCTGATACAAATATTTACCCAGATTATAACAATGGTCTCCCAACAGACTTCTCTCCTTCCATCTCTGCTGCCCTATAGTCTATTCCAAAATGGTACCCAGGGTTTTCTTTTTAAAAAATAAGCTACATTGTGTCACTGCTCTCATTCAGGGAAAAAGCATAAATCCAAAAGATGACTTCAAGACCCTTCGTGATCTCACATATTGCCCCCTCTAACTACCCACCGCCCCACCCCCACGCATTTTGACAGAGAGAAAGAATGAGCAGAGATAGGGAATTAGCCTACTATATTAATATTTAATTACTTTGGAGACACTATAGCAAAGGTCAGCAAATTTTTTCTGTAACTATCCAGACAGTAAACATTTTAGGATTTGCAGGCCCTTGCAATCTCTACCGCAGCAATTCAACCCTGCTAAACAGTAGCCACAGTCTGAAATGGGCCATCACAGGAGTATTTACACCACAGAAACCTCCCAACACTGTAAACAGGGCTTTTATTTTTATTTACTTATTTATTTTGCCCTTCCAGAGAGCTGGGAGTCAAGGGGGAAAAAAAGATGTCAAACTTGGGAAATAAAAGAGTGGTGGAAACGAATAGGGGAGTTAATATGGGGAACCAATTTGAGAAGAAGATAGTAAATACCATTTCAGACATGATGAGTTTAAAGTAAGTGACAACTTCATCTTTGATCTCTCTTCTGAGTGCTTTACCTGTACTATTCAAATCTCCAATCAATTTCAGTTGAATATTCCACTTCCCAAATCCATCCCCTCCTTTTCCAAAGCCTTGCCCCCACTAAAAACAAAACAAAACCTTTTTCTCCTTTACGGTACTAAAAAACACCACTACCCATGTAACCCAAAAAAAGCTAAGTCACTGTGAATTATCCCCTGTACACTACCAGCATAACCAGCGACCAAGTCCAGTTAGTTCTACCTCGTATTTCTCCTATCCACCCTCTATTCTCTTCCACTTACCATGTCCTAAGTGTTTACTATGTGCTACACTTTAGTTCTGTGTAACCAATGTTCTTTCTTTCAACTACCCAATAAGGTAAGTTTACTATTCCTACTATAAATATGAAGACGTTATAGCTTCATCTGTAGAAGCTATAATGGTAGATAAGAACAGTATTTGTGACAATTTCAGTGAGACAATCTTGTGTAAGTGCTTGGTATAAGCAGTAATTGTCATGACTTCTATCACTATTACTGCTCCTCCTCCCTGAAATGTTCCCCTAGCCCCTTATAAAACAAGAACCCATATTTCATATTCAGCTCCAAAGTCTATCAGTAAAACTGACTCCTTTCATCCTTTGTTCTCCCTATATGCAGTACCAACTGTATCAATAAGTATCAATTTCGATTTATTTGTTCACTCGTCTATTTCCCCACCAGACTGCTTACTTCTTATTAGCATGTTGCATGCAGAATAATGGTTACCAAGGGTGTTCAAATCTTAATGTCCACAACCTGTGAATATGTTACTGGCCAAAAAGAACTTTGCAATGTAATTATGGTATAGACCTTAAAACAGATTATCCTGGATTATCTGAGTGGGCTCAAATCACATGAACACTTAAAAGCAGAGAACTATCTCTGTCCAGAAGTGGAAAGCATAGAAACGATATGGCAAAAGGGGATATCAGAGAGATTCGAACTATGAGGGGCATCGGTGCCAGCTCTAAGATATAACGGCCCAATGTAAGCACTGGAGAGAGAACCCCAGGAGCTCACAGGCAGCTTCTAGGAGCAACGACCAGCCTGTGGCTGATAGTCAGCAAGGAAGAGAGTTAGTCCTACAACCACTAAGAAAAGAATTCAGGCCACAACCTAAAAGAACCTGAAAATGGATTTTTCCCCAGAGCCTCCAGTAGGGCACACAGTGCTGACAACACTTTGATTTTAGCCCAATGCGACACATGTCATACCTCTGATCCAAAGAACTCGAGCATAATAAATTTGTTTAAATCTTCTAAGTTTCTGGTAATTTGTTATGATAGTAATAAAAAACTAACATAGGACATAAATTGTATTTCCTCCTATACCTAACACATCTATCTCCCATAGTAAACGTTCAGTGTACATATATGAATTCCAGTGTAAAAGCTTGGAAGGTAATGGCAATATGGGAATGGAGGGTTGAAAATCAGGACTAAAGATTTATATCTGAGCACTCTCCATCAATAACAGCTAAAGACATGAGAATGTACCCCCACTGGAATGCTTGTTTATACCAGACTGCACTGGCTTTAAAGAGTTAAATCATACAATGCACTCAACAACCCAATGAGGTAGGTGTACTTTTATTAACCAACTTTACAGATGAGGAAACGAAAATAAAACCATTAACTTGCCCATGCTCACAAAGCTAAGAAGCGGTAGAAATGAAATTTAAACCCTAGCTGTCTGGCTCATAGGTTCTTCCTCTTTAACTGCTAAGCTATACCATTTATGTCTGAAATTTGAAAATTATTCATAGTTGGAACATGGAGGGTATGTAAGACAACAACCAAAAATTGTGGTTAGAAAAGTGCAAAAAAACCCCAAGAAATACAGTGGTTCAGATGTCAGGGAAAGAGAGTATTTATGATGAAAGTAATCATCAGCCCCAAACGACAAAGAGAAGCCATGAAGACGGAGAACTGAGAACCAGTCACTGCCTACGGCAGTTAGGAAGTCATTGGTAACTTCGGATCCTGCATGATGCACAGATCCAGTAGGGACAGAATAGACTGCTCTGAGTTTATAATGGGTGATAAGAAAATGGAAGTGACATACACAACCTTTCAATAGAGAAGTATGTCAAAGAAGGAAAAACAATAAAATGCAGAGAGTTAGTAGGATGATCATGTTCAAACTATGCAGATAGGATATACCTACCTATTTTCCTCATAATTTCCTTTGTGGTATATTCACCTCCAGTCTTGAATCTCCAATGCATGAAAACACATTCGAAGAACTTAAACCTTGACCGTTGTATTATGAGTGTTAAAGGAGGCATCGTGGCCCTTTCTCTGCAAAGGAGGACTCAGTGAACATAGACTGATGAGGACATTTAGTGTTCCTTAAATCTCCTGTGCTTTTATATCAAGCTGTGACTTACAAGCCACTCAGCAGAATGTCAGTGCTATTTAAATAAGATGCAGCTTTATGAAACAGAAAACCTTTCACCAGGTAAAAGATATGGAAGCTATGCAAAGCAAAGAACTTCTTTTTCCAACCAGAAGCCTCTTAATTGACTGAATAGAATATGCCTGTAAAAAAGGAGTGAAATCTCTTTGCTGGCCTCACTTAGCCATGAAGCATGAAGTGAATCAGATAAAAAGCCCAAATTAAGATTGATAAATGTGGCTGGCAAGTGGTGCTTTGTTTACATTTACTTTCTTCTTCTACCAAGTTTGTTTGCAACTAGACAACATTCACATTGAGGCAATAAACACAAGAACATATGTGATTTTTTTAAAATGTGCCCTTTGACTGTCAATTTCTCCCAAACAGGTGTTGGCTAAATGATTATAAATTGGCCTCTGGATACACCTCTTCAACTGAGCCGTACAGGGCTGGTGATAATATAATTAGACCTAAAAACATCAGGCTGGTGAATGCTTTCCATCTGTTTGGCAATAATGTTTAGTTAACAATAGTCTTTAAAAGAAGCACCTTCAACTTCAGTTCTTAAAGTTATTTATAGTGCCATTCTTAACACACCAGCACTTCTGCTAACAAGAGCTTTAGCCACTTGGAAATTATTAGCCATACGGCTGTATACAAAGAGAAATGACTGCATTTAACATCTGTATCTTTCCAAATTTACATGCTTCAACCTTATTTAAAGTCATTTCTTAATGAGCAGTGCCATGGCGCTGCATTAATATTATAGTTGCATGCACAAAGATCATAAGGAGCCAAACATTTTTTTAATGCCAACAGTAGGCCAATCTGTAATGAAGCTGTCAGCATAAAGGACAAAATAATAGCTTCTTTAACCCTCAAACAGAATTTGTTCATTTGTGGACTAGAACACATCAATTTAAAAACTGCTCATGGGTTTGCTCACCTTTATAAAGACAAAAATCTAATCTGGTACTAATCTGATACAATTGTTTTCCCAATAAAAGGCTCCTAAAACCATCTTTTATTTCATGACAAAACAACTACTGTAACTAAAACTGTCATGAAATAATTATCTTGGAGAGCATACCTTACTGAGAGAATACAATTGATGTGTATTTCTCCCTTTCATTTTTCACACTTAGTTATCAGCCCTATATTAGCATATGGTCTAACAGAAGAGATTATTCCATTTTTGCCCGCAGTAATATATAGAATGACTGCTCCTCACAGGAAAAAAAAGCAGACAACATATCCCTTAAGGATTAGCCTCATCTGTTCTGCGT